AACATTGGGGCCAAGCAAACATTGCAAGCTAAAGAAGAGAAATTGAGACGCACATTACAAAATCTTAAATATTTTTTTATTAATTTCAAAACAGTCAACACGTGGGTAGGTAGACTCCAATTGAGCCGAAAAAAAGAAAAGGCACATGAAATTTGAAGCGGAAAAAATTTTTGAGCAATTAAGTTTTAAAACTTTGCAACGGAAAAAACCTGAACTTTTTCGGTTAAAAACTCAACCATTTCTTGTTCTTATAGTGGCACAATTTGAGATAACTAAGCCCATAAAACATACGTCATTACTATTTAGGCCCAATAAAGCTTTTCAGCGAAAAAAAAATTAAAAAAAAACAATAAAAAAATACTCAGACAAAGTTATAAGGTTTGGTACAGTGGCAAAACAGAGCTTCGCCACGAAAAAAGCCAAAAAGCCAGCAGCTAGTCCAAAAACTAGGACAAAAGCTTGAATAAAAAAATCAAACAGCAAATTTAAAAACTCATTTTTTTCGTTTGTCTCGAATGCGGTTGATTTTGAGAAAAGATAATGAGAAACACAAGTGCCAGTTTTCAATATGAGGATACTTGGGTACACGATAAAAAAAAATTTTTAAAACTATTTGAGAAGTAGAAAAAGCCTCCAGGAGCACAAAAGAAAATAAAAAACAGATAGAACATCAGCCGAAATCATTTAAGCAAAAAAAACCTCTGTAGGAAAAGGACTAAACAGAAAAAAAGGGAAACTAAAGGTGAGAGTTGATATGCAACCAACAGTTAAAACTCGAATGAAACGGCCATTTGAAATGCAAACAATCTCACGAAATCTCTTTTGCCACACATTCTGTTCTGCTGCCATCACAACAGCCTTCCTAACTGATTCAATTAATTTAGTTATTAGCCCGAAAAAAAATGTATACTTCGACTTGATAACGCTTGCTTATCGCAAGCGTATAAACACATGAGAAAATCTACTACATTCGATCCACGATGGAACTTGTCGGTCCACAACACAAGAAAGCTCAAAAATGTGGCAGCTAAGCAAAATAAAGAAATAATCAAAAAAATCATAGAAATAAAAAGAATTAATTACGCCGGCAAGTCGTGGATTAGTTGCTCTTAATCATTGATAACAAAGTTAGTGAAATAATCTCGAAAACCATGACTCTCGATAAATCGAGTATTTAAATGTTTGTAGTTTGTCAACCAATAACAGGTTCAAATTCTTTGTAAAGTTTACAGGTTCTTGAAAAAGCTCATAGCCAGGCAAATTGTTCGATCTCGCGAAGGTGCTTGACATTTCTGCGACAGGGTAAAAATTTAATTCAAAACGTTCCCTCCGTGTTATCTTTGGCCTTCTCAAAAACGTCTTGTTTCCCGTTTGATTTGAATCAGGGCCCTTGTCGATTGTGCAAATATCATGATAAATTATCGGCATTATTAAGAGTTTTATTCGGCAAATTTAAATTAGTTTTCAATTAACATCAGTGATTTTGGTAACAATTTGCTTTTCTTCAAGGAAAAATCATGGTCCTCATCATTCAATTCATGTTTTTTGGAACACAATTTGAAGCCTCGTCGTTGAAATTTTCCTATTTGCATTTATTGGTTTTTAGTCTCAAAACAAACTGGAGATGAATGAAAATTTATTCATAGTATGCAACTTTTACAAAGCGAAAGCCGAAAAGAGTAATTAAATAGCGCTTTTCTTTTTAAGCCTTTCGAAGATGTAGTATACCAATGACAATTTGAAATTGCACCAAACGCCAAGGTCTTTCACCGTGTCTTTTAAAACTATTTGTTTTCCATCAATAGATAAAAGATCGTTTAAAAGGTACCGCTTGTTTGATTTTTAAAATTTATCTAGTTCAAATTTGTCAAAAAGGAAGTCAATTTTGTTTTCTGCTTCCCAGGTTATTACATTGTTTTAATCTGTTTTAATCGAAGAAAGGTCAAACCAATTTCAAAAAAAAAATTTTGTCAGAATTGTAAAAAGACAATGTGTTATCAAGAAAAACTATTTGTTTTCTGCTTGTGAGATAAGATGCAATAAATTGAAGAAACTCATTGTTGAAGCCTATTTTGGCAAGCTTGTATAAAATGATGTTATCGCTAATAGAGTCGAAAGCTTTTGCAATATCTAAAAACAGCATGGAATGTAATTCTCCTTTTTCTAATTTTTTGAATACATCGCAGTACAAAATAGGGTTTGCCACATTTGAATGATGTTTTCTAAATCCATGTTAGTTTTTATTCAACTTTGTTTCAATTAACCCTTTTATCTTGTTATCTAAAACTCGTTCAAAAATTAGGACAAAAAACATGAGCAGACAATTTTCCTGGACAAAGTTTGAATTTTTTGCATATCAAAAAACTTGGTCTGGCCGAGACTCGAAACCTAGACCTTAAAGTAAAGGCAACCTCGTTACCTCTAGGCCAAATCTCAAGAAATCTCGAAGTTGCTAAGGTTCACCTGTAAAACTGTACTGTTTAATCTCTTACAGCTTTATAAAAAAAATTGTTTATGGTAAAGTCTAGTTCACCGTTAAAAATCACTTGATCTCGCAGCTGTAAGACGTATACCAGATATTTAAAAAATCTTAACTAAAAAGAACAATGAAGTATACTTGTAGAACACAAATTAATATTGTTTTATTTTCAAGCTTTGAAAAATTTATAGCGCAGACATCATTTTTTTCCGGCTGACTGATATCTAACCCATCACATTGAAGCGCTTTGAAATCGAGAAATTTTACACTATGAACGAAAATACTTACCCAAAAAAAAAAAAGAAAATCGTCAGTGTTTTTTATATCCCGCTGGGAAGCCCATCAACTTAAAAACAATACATATAAAGTATTCAGCAGAGCTAACAAACAGTTGAAAACTAAACCTTCGAATTGGGATAAAAAAATATCAAATTACGACTGAAGAATCTTTTCAAGTTAGCACTTTCGCCATAATATTCGCCAAACAAAAACACAAGGTCAGCAGGCAATTAAATCTCCGCTGATAAGTTTAAAATTTCAAATCGAAATTCGTTAGTTCGCACCATTTTCATTTTTGCAAAGCGCAATTTGTTCTCATTTTTTCTCAGTGAATTTGAACTGAACTTGAAAACAAAAGAAAAGTCAACCTGAATTTTAAAAATTTCCTGAAAAAAAAATCGACCTATATAAATGTTTTCAATTCGTTGATCGATTCGTGATTTAAAACACAGAAGCGAAGCTGAGCTTCGAGTCACTCGTGATGAAAAAAAAACCTCTAAAACTGCAAGAAAAAAAACGTCACACAAAACTAGATCTATCAAAACTATTAAAGCTAGTTTTGAAAAAAAACACGGACAATTGACAGTTGGAATAATGAAACTCGAGGAGACAAAGCAAAACTTACTTGTTTTAGAAAATGTCTTCTAATTTCAAAAGAAAAAGATGGCTTTCAAGCTCTTTGAAATTCACAATCAATTTATGTCTAGTGCTTTTTTTGATAAAAATTGCCCATTTTGCTGGAAATTACTGCATAAATTGGTGAAAAAAATTTTCCTCTGGGAAATCTGATAAATAAATTCTATTTTCAAAATAAGAAGTCAATCTAGTTTTTTGAGATCTAGTCATTTTGCTTTTGGATAGAGGAGTTTACTTTCGTTTTAAGACAAAAAACGAAACGAACATCAAAAGAAATCAAAAGTCAAACCGCGAAAAATCAAACTTGAGCGTCAGTAAATTATCACACTTTTTCAAGACAAAAAAATATCACTAAGACCCATATAAGAGTATTCTCTAAAATCATCAAACTTAAAGATACCAGAACAAAAAAACTACACTTGGAAAAAACTCACCGAGCAGTAGAAAAAAACCAAAGAAAAGGTATAACCTAAGAGGAAAGTTTTTCAGTCCCCTTCCCCTCGAAGCCCACACACTTGCACGCGAAAACTTTTCGAGTCATCAAACGACGTATTATGAGGTCACTAAGCTGATAAATTTTAGTCCGAAACCCATTAAACCCAACGAAAAAAAAAGAAATGGAAAGCGAAAGGTTGAAAAAGAAATCGAAATCGTGAAATTACAGCTAACATTAAAAAATTTCAAATAGGACGGATATTTGAAATGCAAACAAGCCCCAATTATGTAGCAGTAATTCAAACAGTTTCCTCGAGATGAGTCTTGTAAACAAAGTTATTTACGAATAAAAAACTTGTTTTTTAGTCGTGTATCCCAAGTCGATTAACAAAACATAAGATCGTTACGTTCGTTACTCTTAAAAAAACGTCATTACTCAAAAACAACAAATATTTCGCCAGTCATATTTGGACACAAGATTCACAACTCCTGAGAGTGCCCTGATATCGCCCCATAACAGGGTTCAGAAAGTTAACTTCTGTCAAGTTTTGATATATCATTTCCTAGCAATTTTTTTGAACAAAAAAAAAACAGCGAAAACGTCAAATCTCGGTCGGAAACTAAAAGGATTTAACCAGTCATATTTGGAGGCACAATTTACATCTCTCGAGATTACCCTTTCAGCACCCAACTACAGGTTTGAGAGCTTCAATTTTTTTGGAATGTTGTATATTCAATTTTTTAAATACTTTTGCAAAAATCATAATTATCTTTGTATCTCGTAAACTAAAACGATTTGGGTGCCCAATTTGCAACTTCTAAGGTAGCCCTGACAGCATCACCTTTTGGATTGCTTTTTTTAAACTGAGCGAAAAAAAACACTGAATTCAAGCTAGAAAGCCTAATAAATGACTTAAGCATTATTGCAATATAAGACTTAGCTTAAATTCTTTTGTTAAACACGCACAAATAATACGTTGAAAAAACTTAAACATGGCTGAAGCACGCAATTATATATATAATAAACAATAAGCGAAACCTTAGTTTATTCAGATTGGCCATTGGTTTTCAAACATCAGAAACATTTTTTAACTTGCCTTAATTGCGATGGGAGTTAAGTTTCCGAGCATCAAATATTTTATCTCCAACCTAATCATGTCGCCAAAATATGTTAAAATAAAAGAAATTGAATTCTTGTAGGTTAGTTTCAAAATGATTATTTAATTTACAAACGAAAAATGTGAATTAAACTATAAATGCTTCAAAGCTAGCACATCTAAAAATTCAGGCAAAAGCCAAATTATAAAATTGCTTTAATTTCAAAGCTTCTGAATTAAGACACACCTAGTAATGGATATGTTAGTATTTAAGACATCATTTCTGAACGTTTTTTTTGTAACATTCAAAATGTATGGTGAGCATGATTTGTCCCTGTAGCAAGACTATTCGTACAAAAATTGTTTGAAATTTTACAGTTTACAACAGCAAAAGCATCGCTGAAGATTAGACTAACAATTTGCTTACAAAGCAGATTTGCTTCAGAACAATTAAATCAATCTAGACGAAATAAACAAAAACGATGAGCTGAACAAAGAAGAAGTAACCAAACTGATTACAAGCCTTCATGCATCAAAAGTGACTTGTGAAATATTTCAACAACCTGACGTCAGATATATTTCTAAAAATATGAGTGAAAACGGCAAAAAAAGAGTGGAAAAATTATTCTTCCACGAGAATAAGCACTAGTATAAAAACATTAGGCGTATAGCAGATCATTTATTTGGTTCGTTCAGCTCAATTTCAAATTCAGTTGAAAGTTCGAACATACTTCCATTCTCAGTTCTTCGAATAACTTGCCCCGTTATCTTGATTGAGCCTGTTTCAAAAGGCGCCCTCGACATGCTTACTGTCTGCCGGTTTCGCTTTCTTGTTTGGCTTGTATGTCTTCTCCGCCTCGTAAATTTCGTCCTGCACCTATTGAAACAACACACAGTTAAGTCAAACTTTTTGAGCCTACATTTTTTCAGACAAGTGAAAGGAAAATGTGACTAAATATTTATTGACACTATTAATTACTACAAGCGATACTGAAGTAACAGTTTACAGAGTTCCGAGCCCATCAAAGTGTTCATAACTGGTAAATCTTTTCTGTCAGTTAGCATCAAACTAATTTATTAGTTTCTATTAAACTTACTGGTTCAAACCAATTTATTAGTTACTAATTCACCTGTTTTAACCAGTTTATTACATAGAGGCGAAGCAGAGCTTCGGATCTCTGTCGATACAACGCAAGCGCAGCGTTGCAAGATAGCGCAAAGAAAATGAGACGAAAACAACAAAATCGAAAAAAAAAACACATTTTTGGGGGGGGCATGACAATAATTCAAGAACAACAGTCTAAAAACACAACTACCAGTAATAATTAAGCTTTAAGAATTTACCACGTGGCAACTAAGCTGACAACAAATGGGTAGACACCCATTCAGGGGCGGATTTAGGGGGGGGCGGACGCCGCCCCCCCCCCCCCCCCCCCTCTCAGGGATACGACACCCTGCCGACCCATAAGGTCCCCCCTATGGTACGTTTTAAGAAATCCACTTTTGGCCGACCGACCCTAAAATTTTTCTAAAGGCGCCTTTGGCGCCAATATATACTAACTTTGAGGGGGAGCGCGCGCCAAAAAAATCGCTATTTTTTTGTCAAAATTTTTCAAAAAGTGCCCAAAACCGGCTTTTTTTGACTGTCTTTTTAAAAATTCCTGCGGCCCAGAAAATTTTGCCAAAATAGGGGCAAAACAGTGCTCTTTGGGAGAGCTCAAAAAATCAATTTGGTTGACCTAAAAAAAAGTCGTCAAAATTTTCGATTTCTTTTTGAAAATCCGCAGCCCACCCCCCCTCGAGAAAATCCAAGATCCGCCCCTGCACCCATTGATCCGAAAAAATAACAAGAAACTGCTGTCATAAAAAAATTTTGAGCAATTAAGTTTCAAAACAGTAACTGCATGAATTGTTTCAAAAGGCAATCTTTTCTTGCCTTTAAAGCAACACAAAAAAAGGTGAGAAAGCCGATAAAAAATAAGCCGAAACCAATTAGGTCTGACAATTCAACCGAAATTCTGACAATTCAATTTTTCCCGGATACACAAAAAAAAACAATCCTTCCGGGATTCGAACACCAGACCCTAGGGTACAACAAAAGCAACCGCGTTACCTCTAGGCTACAAAGGAAAAAGCCTCATAATTGCTAAGGTTCACTAATAAAGCAGCTTCACCATTTCATAAAAACTAGAAAGACTGAATTGGTTCCCATATAGTTTAAGTTTTTTAAACAAGCTAGCCGATCAATGAAACTTTGAAACATTTCATTTTTTATAGACTGAATAAGTTCGCTAATACTTAAGTTTTTCTCAGCAAGATATTCAAGCTTTGAATCTTTGAAACATTTTTTTGAATCTTTAAAATTGATTCGCAAAAAGTTGAGTTTTTTAAGCAAGCTTTTCGAGTTTCGAAACTTTGAAATATTTCATGTTAATGCATGGACTGAATCGATTCGCAAAAACTTTTTTTCGCGAACCGCGAAGTCTTTTTAGCAATCGGTTCGCGAATTTTTTTAGCAAGCTACTTAAGCTATGAATTTGAAATATTACAAGTTATTCCATAGACGGAATCGACTCGCAAAAGTTATTTTAAGCATAATATTCCAGCTACGATACTTAGAAATATTTCAAGTTATGTCATAACGCGAATCTGTTTGCTAATCGTTTTAGTTTTTCTAAGCATATAAGTTGCTGTTTTAATTGGTTGGTTTCAGACTGAAATGATTCCGTAAAGCAAAACTTGTACAAAAAGTGGGCAGGTACTGTCTAGCTTTGAAATTGAATCGAGTTCATCTTTCTTAAGCGTTGAGCTCAATGATCGCTTTTAAACAATTCGCCTTATGGCAGCTTAAACCTGGCATTAATTTCTCTGTCATTCATTTAATATAGGAGGATAGGAGAGGATGTGAAAGAAAAGTTGTTTAAAGGGAAAAACGCCTAGTACCCGATTACAAGATTGTTAGATTGTTTTCGCAAGTGTAATTACTATTAAACTCACTGCTTCAAGCGCATTGATTAGTTAGAATTTGAACTTTGTGGTCACCTTGCAGAGTAAGAAGAGACAGGCAGCCCCACAGAGGAGGATGGAGGCTGCCCACCCACACCCGTGTCCCCAACCGAAGTACCACTTGCGCTCCTGAGAGATGTAGTAGTCCTCGTTGGTCCTGTCCAGTCTAATGTCTATGTCCTCGAACTCCTACAGCAAACCAATCATTGAGATAACGCGAGGTTACATTTTGGAAAAACAAATTTTCATTTTCAAATTCGATGTACAGTGCGATTTAAATTATCCGGACAAAACGAACAAAACTTAAATTTTCCAACGCGTTTTCTCAAACTGGGTTAAGATTAGACAAAATAAGAAGAGAACAAAAATAGCTTAGAATTTCACCAGAATTAATATGGTGCCATTTTTTCTCCGAAATTTTCAACAAACATTTTACCCCAAAAATTGGTCATTTTGGCTTTTTTCAATTAATCACGAATTACGCTGAAACTACTTAGTTAATTGATAAGAAAATTATATCACAGGAAGCCTCTTACGTAATTCAACAAAGTTTAAGAAGGGTTAAATCTCCAAAAAACAATATAAGAGAAATAATTTTCACTTGATAATCAATAAATGTGATTTTTACTAAAAAACCCAGAATCTGTTTAAAAATAAATTTTAAACAATTTGCGCAAACTTTTGGAGGTTCAACCCTTCTTAAACTTTGTTGAACTGCGTAAGAAGCTTCCTGTGATACAATTTTCTTCTCAATTAACAAAGCAGTTTCAGCGTAATTCTTGATTAATTGAAAAAAGCCAAAATTACCCATTTTTGGGGTAAAATTTTTGTCGAGAATTTCGGAGAAAAAATGGCACCATATTAATTTGGTAAAACTCTAAGCAATTTTTGTTCTCTTCACTTTTTGTCTAATCTTAACCCAATTTGAGAAAAACGCGTTTGAAAATTCAAGTTTTGTTCGTTTTGTCCGGATAATTTAAATCAGCCTTGTAGTTCTTAGGTTTCCTTAAATTCGAGAAAACTTTACGCAGAAAACATGATATTTAACTTTTTGGCGTGGAAAAACATATGCGTGGCTGGTTCAGACAGAAATTTTTTTTTAGTAAAGTAAAGGACCTACATACGAGCTGTTAGGCTCTTCACGTAAAACCACTGTTGTGCCCCTGGTTAAGAGTACCATACATTATATCGGTTATTTGCACGGCTACGTAATATTGCCTCACCCTCAATCACGGATCAAGGTGGGCACGGATCACACACACAACAATCATGCGAACCAATCAAAACAAAACCAACATTTGAAATATTTATCACTAAATATCTGTTTTGGTGGACTGAAGATACTTACATTCACTTAGTAAAAGCATTATTAAATAAGTTTCAAGCACCAAAACTTTAATTGCGCTTTCTGCGTATTGGGTAGCAATTAAGAAAAAAATTGCTTATTATAAAAATTGCTTAAACTCGAATGGTACAACTCTTTTGGCAAGCTTCAGACCCAATTTTGGAGAATGAGCTTTCGATTCGATTGCAGGAATAGAAATCTTTAAATATCTTCTACAAAACTCAAAAAAGCTTATTTTTCTAATAAATCAACGAAAACGAAGTAGCCTGCCTCGAAAAGCTCAACTCCTACCAAACAGCTAGTTTTCAACGTGAAAGACACTGATTTTGATTGTTCAATGTTAATCATCTTTAAACTCTTAAACTATTGTCATGCAATCAAATCGAAAATCAATCCAGTTGACTTAACATAGTTTTCGGTTAAATCTTCCAAAAACAAGAAACACCTCGAAACATCAGTTCTCTTAGGAAAAAAATAGGTTCAAACCTGCCAGACAAACTGAACCATTTGAATTCTGTCAGATTTTTAAGCAATTTTTATAGTAAACCATTATCTCAAAAACACGTAGAAAACGCCGCAGTCAAAGATTTAGTGCTCAAAAACTGCTGTAAGAATGCTTTTGCTTTGCTTTCGGCTAAGTTAAAACCAAATTCAAGACATTATTTTTTCGGTCAATTTAAAAATTGCCATTTCACGCCAATCAGTTTTTCACATTTCAGCACATATAAACCTTATCAAAAAAGCAAACAGTTGGAAAAATGGCAATAAACACAAGGAACCAGAAAAAAACCGACTTGTTTTGGAAACTTCAATTTCCAAATTTCAAAGAAAAAAACATAAGCCCTGAAAGCTCATCGAAATTTAAGAAGTTTATGATTGAACCTTTTTTTTGAAAATTAAAGCAGTTTGAGTAAACTGGCTGAATGGGCAAATTTTAATTCTGCTGGAAAACCTACAACTTCGAATCTAGAAGTAGTTCACAATTTTTGTTAGTGACCTTTATAATTTTGCTGTTCGATAGTGAAGTTGGCCTTCCTTTTAACAAAGATAATGAAACGAATTTCAAATTTGAAAGTGACTTTTCGAAATCAAACTTGAACGTGGGTGACTTTTTCCTAAGAAAAAAACCTTAAAAAATCATCACGACCAAAATAAGTGTCTTCGGTCCCCAATTAGGTTTTTTAACATGGATCGACACATGGCAAAGGAATTGTATCAACACAAGAATTGATTTGAATTATCCGCATAAAACTAATAAAACTGGAAAAGCTTCAACCGCTGATTTATTCAATTTTAGATCTTATACCAGCACAAAAAGCTTTTACTACGGCCAGGAAAAATTAATTTCCACAGTTTCATTTAGCGCGTACCCGGGGAAAAACTGTAGTCAAAACAGAGGCGAAGCTTTGCTTCGCAAACAATAGCGAGAAGACGACAAAAAGCAGCTCTATTAGTGCAATAAGAAAAGTAGAAGTAAGCCTCGAATTAGCAAAAAAACGACTACCTCTGAGATTCGAACCTGCGACCTGCAGGCTATGTGTGCTTGAGAAAAGAAGTCGTCCAGAACTTGATTTCGAATATAAATTCAAGCAAAAAGTTCGAGAAATTCTCGGCCTGTAATTGGCTCAAAAACATGAATAATTTCGTTAATCAGACGACTTTAAGCAGTATCCATTTTAAGCGTGTGACCAAGTTCACACTTTTGGTAAAAACCGTTTTGACAGACGAAATTCTGTCAATCAAGGTCGGCCAAGGCCGTTTTATAAACTAAATTGAAAATTTTCACTTGAACGAAAAGAGTTTTGGTGGAAGGGGCAGGGTTCGAACCCAGTTATGAAGGGTCGGTTGGTATTTTGGGTCGGTAGCGTAAGCCGCACAGCCATTGTTTCTCTATTTGACTGCCTTTACACTCTATTTTGTTCTGCTGTTACGTTCTTAATTTACTGCCTTTCTTCTCTATGGGGAACATCCTCCCTCAAGGTCGGCAAGCCACTTCGAGCGCTTATTCAAGAAACAGACGTACTCCTTCAGTCAACGCTTCCAAAGAGCATTTGCGTAAGCCTGTGCTCTCACTAAGCGCTTCCGGTGGTCAAAGCTATCATCGAGTTTTAGCGACGGAAAGCTAACAAAGCTTACTCAAGAGAAAATGGTAAGGCGTTAACGCTTCCAATTCAGTTGAATCGGGACCAACAAGCGTTATTGGACTGGCATTTAAAGTTAGCTCCACGAAATAAAACGTGGTAGAAAAAGCCTCATCCGTTAACTTGCGAGTACCGATGGTTGCGTAGAAAACACATTTGCAACTGCGCGCCAGGAGGATTGTATTTCCATTTAATCTCTTTATGCTCTAACAATGAGGGAGCCTGTCTGTTCCAATTTTCTAGGCAAAGCAGAAGTACTTTCTCAGCTCTAACGAAAATGGTACCATAACCTGACCACACAACGCTTGCCATACTACGGCGGGCGATTACGATAAATCTTTCAATCCCCATGACGCAAGAGCCGGTGTCCATAGACGGAACAATTTCGATGTGTACAGCACGGGTGAAGAGAATAGCCCATCTTTTCTCACTACTGCGGCGAATAGTCACGAAAAATGGGCTGAAATGATCCAACCCTGTTACTGAATGACCGATGGCTGTAAACAAGCCGTTCGACAGGGAGGTCTGACATCATAGAATGTAACGTGCTTGCATTGCTTTTTTGCAAACAAAACAGCATCTTTCAATTGCCCGGAGGGTCGCTTGCAGACCCAAGACCACAAACCCCATATGAACTATGGACTGCGAACAATCCAACTGTTGATGGTTGTGGGCAAAAAGCAGCTGCCTCAAAACAAATTCGCCAACTGGTGACAATAATATAAGATGATGGTGTGCTTAGTTTGAGAACTTATTTCGGCTAAGCGTTGAATCCGTTCCGTGGAACGAATAATGCCACGGGGTCCGATAAACGGCAAGTAACCTGCAATGCGACAAGACGTTTCTACGGGTATGCCAGATTGATGTTGCTTGAACTCAACCGGTAACGATTCGGATTGAGCCAAAAGTAACAATTTATCTTTCGCAATTGCTAATTCGAACGGATCGGTTATTTGAGCGTTAAGCCCGCCGATTGTGCTTGTGTTTCGGCAATCAGCTCCGCAAAAAAAGCAAACGTATCGCTGCAGTTTCATAAAACTACTATACTTCTCCCAAACAAATATGGGCTCTGGCCGCTTCTAAATACTCGTGGAAGCATGTATTGAATTATCTATGGTGTCGTCCTCATTTTTCTTTGAGAGGATATTAGTATCAAGATCCAGATTCGGTTTGAAAGGCCACTCGTTGCCTAATAGGAAGCTTAAACCCTGACCCAACTGCTTTTTTTCAGGAATTCCGCCGATAATTCGCTTGCTCCAGTGTCCGCAGGATTATCTCCAATATTAGCATGGAACCACATTGGTGAGTTCCTATACTTCACAACCGCGGTTTGCAACAAAAGTCGTTAACTTATCGACGAAGTAAAGCCATTGTAACACCGTGCTGCTATCGGTCCACAAAATGGTGCGGATTACTTTGATTGAAAAAGCCCGTAGTATACCTTGATTCAGCCGAGATACCAGCAAGGCTGCCTGCAATTCCAGCTGCGGAATGGACAAAGCCTTCATTGGTGCTACCCTTGCTTTATCAAAAACGAACGCAAACTCCGTTTTTGAGTCTCAATAGTCCGGGCACGAAGGAAACAACCGCGCAAAACTTATCTTGCGAGCTACCCCTAAACATACGGAGCTCATATTGGTCAAATGGGTTCAAGAAGTAGCAAGGAATGACTACTTCTCCTTAGACAAACAGGATTAAAGCCACTCAATGAATTGCTTCCGGAGCGCTTTTGGTAAGAGATCATCCCCTTGTGGCCCAGTTATGTCGAAGATCAATGAAACAAAACTGAGAACAATTCGTTGCGTAAGGGTTAACTCCACGACTCACAACAAGAAAGTCACTTGAACGAAAAGAGTTTTGATGGAAGGGGCAGGGTTTGAACCCAGTTATGAAGGGTCGGTTGGTATTTTGGGTCGGTAGCGTAAGCCGCACAGCCATTGTTTCTCTATTTGACTGCCTTTACACTCTATTTTGTTCTGCTGTTACGTTCTTACTTTACTGACTTTTTTTCTCGATGGGGAACATCCTCCCTCAGGGTCGGCAAGCCACTTCGAGCGCTTATTCAAGAAACAGACGTACTCCTTCAGTCAACGCTTCCAAATAGCATTTGCGTAAGCCTGTGCTCTCACTAAGCGCTTCCGGTTGTCAAAGCTATCATCGAGTTTTAGCGACGGAAATCTAACAGACAGCTTACTCAAAAGAAAATGGTAAGGCGTTAACGCTTCCAATTTTCGCTTGCCCCAGTGTCCGCAGGATTATCTCCAATATTAGCATGTAACCACATTGGTGAGTTGCTATATTTCACAAACGCGGTTTGCAACAAACGTCGGTAACTTATCGACGAAGTAAAGCCATTGTAACACCGTGCTGCTATCGGTCCACAAAATGGTGCGGATTACTTTGATTGAAAAAGCCCGTAGTATATCTTGATTCAGCCGAGATGCCAGCAAGGCTGCCTGCAATTCCAGCTGCGGAATGGACAAAGCCTTCATTGGTGCTACCCTTGCTTTATCAAAAACGAACGCAAACTCCGTTTTTGAGTCTCAATAGTCCGGGCACGAAGGAAAAAACCGCGCAAAACTTATCTTGCGAGCTACCCCCAAACATACGGAGCTCACATTGATCAAATGGGTTCAAGAAGTAGCAAGGAATGACTACTTCTCCTTAGACAAACAGGATTAAAGCCACTCAATGAATTGCTTCCGGAGCGCTTCTGGTAAGAGATCATCCCATTGTGGCCCAGTTATGTCGAAGATCAATGAAACAAAACTGAGAACAATTCGTTGCGTAAGGGTTAACTCCACGACTCACAACAAGAAAGTCACTTGAACGAAAAGAGTTTTGATGGAAGGGGCAGGGTTTGAACCCAGTTATGAAGGGTCGGTTGGTATTTTGGGTCGGTAGCGTAAGCCGCACAGCCATTGTTTCTCTATTTGACTGCCTTTACACTCTATTTTGTTCTGCTGTTACGTTCTTACTTTACTGACTTTTTTTCTCGATGGGGAACATCCTCCCTCAGGGTCGGCAAGCCACTTCGAGCGCTTATTCAAGAAACAGACGTACTCCTTCAGTCAACGCTTCCAAATAGCATTTGCGTAAGCCTGTGCTCTCACTAAGCGCTTCCGGTTGTCAAAGCTATCATCGAGTTTTAGCGACGGAAATCTAACAGACAGCTTACTCAAAAGAAAATGGTAAGGCGTTAACGCTTCCAATTTTCGCTTGCCCCAGTGTCCGCAGGATTATCTCCAATATTAGCATGTAACCACATTGGTGAGTTGCTATATTTCACAAACGCGGTTTGCAACAAACGTCGGTAACTTATCGACGAAGTAAAGCCATTGTAACACCGTGCTGCTATCGGTCCACAAAATGGTGCGGATTACTTTGATTGAAAAAGCCCGTAGTATATCTTGATTCAGCCGAGATGCCAGCAAGGCTGCCTGCAATTCCAGCTGCGGAATGGACAAAGCCTTCATTGGTGCTACCCTTGCTTTATCAAAAACGAACGCAAACTCCGTTTTTGAGTCTCAATAGTCCGGGCACGAAGGAAAAAACCGCGCAAAACTTATCTTGCGAGCTACCCCCAAACATACGGAGCTCACATTGATCAAATGGGTTCAAGAAGTAGCAAGGAATGACTACTTCTCCTTAGACAAACAGGATTAAAGCCACTCAATGAATTGCTTCCGGAGCGCTTCTGGTAAGAGATCATCCCATTGTGGCCCAGTTATGTCGAAGATCAATGAAACAAAACTGAGAACAATTCGTTGCGTAAGGGTTAACTCCACGACTCACAACAAGAAAGTCACTTGAACGAAAAGAGTTTTGGTGGAAGGGGCAGGGTTTGAACCCAGTTATGAAGGGTCGGTTGGTATTTTGGGTCGGTAGCGTGAGCCGCACAGCCATTGTTTCTCTATTTGACTGCCTTTACACTCTATTTTGTTCTGCTGTTACGTTCTTACTTTACTGACTTTTTTCTCGATGGGGAACATCCTCCTTCAGGGTCGGCAAGCCACTTCGAGCGCTTATTCAAGAAACAGACGTACTCCTTCAGTCAACGCTTCCAAATAGCATTTGCGTAAGCCTGTGCTCTCACTAAGCGCTTCCGGTTGTCAAAGCTATCATCGAGTTTTAGCGACGGATATCTAACAGACAGCTTACTCAAAAAAAATGGTAAGGCGTTAACGCTTCCAATTTTCGCTTGCCCCAGTGTCCGCAGGATTATCTTCAATATTAGCATGTAACCACATTGGTGAGTTGCTATATTTCACAAACGCGGTTTGCAACAAAAGTCGGTAACTTATCGACGGAGTGAAGCCATTGTAACACCGTGCTGCTATCGGTCCACAAAATGGTGCGGATTACTTTGATTGAAAAAGCCCGTAGTATATCTTCATTCAGCCGAGATGCCAGCAAGGCTGCCTGCAATTCCAGCTGCGGAATGGACAAAGCCTTCATTGGTGCTACCCTTGCTTTATCAAAAACGAACGCAAACTCCGTTTTTGAGTCTCAATAGTCCGGGCACGAAGGAAACAACCGCGCAAAACACATCTTGCGAGCTATCCCTAAACATACGGAGCTCACATTTATCAAATGGGTTCACGAAGTAGCAAGGAATGACTACTTCTCCTTAGACAAACAGACTTGAAAGCCACTCAATGAATTGCTTCCGGAGCGCTTCTGGTAAGAGATCATCCCATTGTGGCCTAGTTATGTCGAAGATCAATGAAACAAAACTGAGAACAATTCGTTGCGTAAGGGTTAACTCCACGACTCACAACAAGAAAGTCACTTCCAAGGTGCCACTTTAACCCTAACACATGAGAATTCAAGTGGTCACTATTACTCGCAATGCCCTTTGATTTTGCAGTTACATCAACTGAAGTGTTCAAATATTCATAAATTGCAGGAACATTTCTAACAAACTTGGTGAGACAGAACCGCCCCAATTTAAGGAGATTACCCAGATCTTGCTTTTTCTCATTGAGTCATCGCATTTTTCGAATGAATCCAAGAAATCATCCATATGGTCACACGCACTAACCACTCAGCCACGGAAGCTTACAATAAAGTAAAAACTAGCCTTAAATAAAGCAGAGAACAGATGCTATGTATTTCCAATGCTACAGTGAAATAAGTGAACACTTCCAAATAAGTGAACACTTTTAATGAACACTTTTATTTGCGCGTTAGGTTAGAAAGAAAAAGGTCCGTAATAATACAGTAAGCTGATAGCTAGTAAAAATATGACTAATTTACTCATATTAGAGAATTCGTGTTGTCCCTCTAATCACACCACGCACCAAAAAACAATATTGAAAAAAAAAAAGAGAAAAACTTTTCTTTGTTTTTCTTAATTCTTGATAATATGGTCGTAATTTTCTGTTCTATTTGTACAGCAGCCGTCTACTCTTGTTAACTAGTTGTGTTCTACCGCCGATCATAAACATACTTGAGAAAAAAGCAATTTCACCGAAAAAAAACAATAACTTCATCTGCAGTCCCTATTTGCGGCTGCGACTGTAACACATTATTATAAATGACAACAGCTGGTGGTTTACAGAACATTTATTGGCGTTACAGAACATTTATTGCTTTTGAACATTTATTGGCGTGGGATAGTCGGAACTAACTTACCCTTGAAAACATAGCCAGGAACACCACCAAGCCCACAATAATCAAAATCAGGGCGGCCAGTGCCAGACATCCGGCTATATTAGCCGCCGCCTGGCTGTTCAGACAGAGACTGATCAGAATCACAATTATGGCCAGAACAGTCACCAATATGGTTATTATGACCAGAGCTATGACCGACTTGAGCCAGGGCTGTCTTGGGTCTATGTCCTCACATGTCTCGACCACTGTGCGTTGAAAGTTGCGGGCTCCGTTATCAGAGGTGACAAACTCGGCTGAAACAGATTTCAAATACAATTTTACGGTCAACAAACATCCTTCAAGATTTTAAATTTTTCTTGCTTCTTGAATTTAGTTTAAAAAATAGTTTGTAATATATCGAGAACTGTAAAAATGAAGTAATGAAATTGACATGATTGCCTACAGTTTCGCTAAAAAGAACAGTAGACAATCATATCAAATTTGAGGAATCATTTTACCAGTTCTCGATATATTACCCAGTTCTTTCTTGACTAGCGTTACTCTGAAAATGTTATACCAGCAAAAAAGGGTATTTAAATCCAATATTCTAAGGACCATTCTCATTTCTTCTTGTTTGCATTTGAAACATGAAATCTTAACATACGTTTATCATGATCAGACATTGGGTCAAATATAAATATTCTGTAAAACTGCTAAGTCATTTTCCCCTTTGACCCCTTTCACAAATGTTTATACCTTTGCACATCAGCTCAAGATAAACGAAAACCAAACAATAAGAGGAGAGATATCTTAATTTAAAGCAAGTCTAACAACTTTTCGAACTGACCAAAGAGTCATGGAAACACATTCGAGACAAAAATATTAGATTTATTTAACTTATCGCAAATCATTTATAAACCTCGAAAAGTTCATAAGCAGTAGCGAATTCCAGAAAAAAAAAGATCAAAAATTCCAGATAAGAAATAGACAAAAAATTCTGATTTGCGAATTCCAGAAAAAAAAATAGATAAAAAACAATGACTACGCGACTCTTTACTGCTATACTTTTTCTAGCTCAACACACTTCTACCCAAATAATAGTTCAAGGGCCAGACAAATGCTCATACGACATCAAACTGCAGGATAGCTTCACTATACGAAACGAGAGGTTCCACTCCATTCACATGTGTAGTAATGGTTACATAACATTTGGTAGTGACGCGCCTGAAGTTCTGATGGAGCCTGACCAATTTGACAAACTGAATGCATCGACGATTCTGTCTCCCGCATTGATTAGACAGGCAAGTGTTTTCCATTACTCTCCTTTTCCAATATTTTATCATTTTCAACCCTGATATCACGTATCAAAAACAATTTTCTTAAAGGGGACTTTTTTGCAACCAGCCCTACACTTTCAATAAGTGAAGATACCGGCTTTGAAATTACAAGAAATCTAACTTGACTTAGAGCTTTTCTGAACTGTTTTTCGAAAACTCAAGTCTCGACAAAGTTGCTCACAGGCCAACTTCATTCTGAACAAAACAATCCATCAAACTTTAGCCTGAAACCCTTTCACCAGTCCACTCTGTTAACGTCACTTACGAAGAACTAACATTCGAAACTGTTCAAAACCTGAGCAAAACTTGGATCGGCGACCCCAAATACGTCAAGGATGACTACTTCAGACCCCGGTGGGGTTTCTCAGTTTTCTGGAAGGGACCTCAAAATGAGTTTGGAATCTACATTCTTCAAGATAGGAAGCTAAGGACTATCCAGGGACCTCTTGAGAAGACATTGATTATCTATGATTACCGCAGGTTGGATCTTACTGTGGATACAGCGACTGGACAAGAAATGAGATCTGGTATCAACAGTCCCAATAACAGTAAGTAATCATAAAGAGAAGTGTTGAAAAAACTTTTAGAACCAATATCAGACTGCATTCCTCTTTTCTCGGAGATCCAATTTCATACATACCGGTCTCACTTGTGTGTGTGTATGTTTATGTGTATGAATATATATCATGTACGCAAACTTGTCCAAAGCTCATTACTTCTTCATTTTTGTGCCAGATGTATCGAGATGTTTGGTTCGTCTAGGCATCGGAATTGATCAAGTACCTTTGTTTACCTCCCGCTCTTCTACGCACTAAATTTCCAGTCATGATCAAATGTCTTTAAATCTGTTTTCTGATTCAATAACTTAAGAAATTCAGCAGTTGCATCCTGGTTTTCGGAAATAGAGTGTTCTTTTACGTCCAGTCATGGCCAGTACTTGGGTGGGCTTTTTCCCTTTCCTCCATAATATTCTGTTCAGTCTCCGGAAACACAGCATTACAAACGCTGAGATTCTGTGTTCTATCAACCTGGCGATTTTCCAGGTTTCAGAAAAGTACATATAGAAGGGGATATTTATGTTATTCTTCGACAAAATACTGAGAAAAACTAAACGCAAAAATGCCAAACTTTCTCTGTCTGATAACCCAATTTTCTCCCCTAAACAAACAAAACAAGCCATTCCGAATAGCAAACTCTCACCAGCACTCGGTTCAGATGGTCTTTGTAAGGTCCACCTCAAATACCTTGGACCTTTTGCACCTGATTACTTGACTTATTTGTTTAACCTTTTCCTGTTTGATAAAATTATCCCCTATATGTGGAAAAAATTCAGAAGACATGCATCTGCCCAAACCTGAAACGGACCTTTAAACTTCAACATCCTACAAGCCTATTTCACTACTGTGCCCCGCTGTAAAAAAATTTTAGAACCATTTCAGTCCGCAACCGCACTCTCCATTCTTTTGAACTTCTTAATTACCGATGGCTTTAACCAAAACCGCCCTCCCCTACGTACTGTTCTCGCCACACTTGACCTTTCAATTTATTTGATATGGTGTGTCATAGAGCACTAGTAGAACTCATTCATGACACACCGTTGGCAAGAGGTCTAATTCGCTGGCTTAGCAAGTACTTATAGGGCCGACAAGCCACCACTATTTTTAATAGCCGAGTATCCCCGCACAGAAATGTTCACTGGTGTTCCCCAGGGCTCTGTTTTATCGCCAACTCTATAATTTTTCCTTGCATGTCGCCCCTTCGCCCCCCGAGATAGTTATCCTCACCTCAAACGTTATGATTTCCACCCCTTTGTCCAAAAGCCCGACGTAGCATCGTGCTCACTAAACAGTTATCCGCACCGCCTTTTCTTCTATTTCACCTGTCGTTAATTTAAGGGGTTACTTTTGACCCGACCCTATGCTTCGCAGCTCACTGCAAGAAATCTGCTGAAAAGGCTCGTCCCATGATAGGAGCCCTGAAGACTTTGTGACTAGAATCCTCTCAAAGTCAGACTAAATAATCCCTACTTTGAACTTAGAAATTCTTTATTCGTCCTATTTTAGATAAGGCCTCGTCAACCTAGGCACACACCACCAGCCTAACTTCTACTAATCACCTGCATGTCACCCAAAATAAAACCCTCTGAGATTAAGCCCTCAGTGAAGTCGAGATCCTGAATGTTTCAAACCACCACTCTTTCAACTTCTGTTTTTCATCTCATATTGTTCGCATCAGCCAAATCAGTTTTATCACTTTACCCCTACCCCACGTCAAGTTCGACAATCTAGTTCAAGTGTTTTTTAAAGACGACAGAGAATCCCCATAAAACGACCAAAACCCGTCACTAAATCTTAACGACTCAGACGTTTCCACCTTCGTTTTTAACCAAGAGAAGTCCCTTCTAAAACAAAAACATACTAGCCTCGTAACCAGGTTCCTATCAGAAACCCCTCCCTCAGAAGTCATTTATATTCCACTTCCGAGCATTGAACCCTCTGAACAGCCTCGCCGGAACCACCCAATGTAAGCTGGTTCCAGTCGGCTTTTAAACACTTACCTCGCCCGCTTAGACAACCAAGTTTCCCCCCTGGTCCTAATTGTCTCTTGTAACCCCACAGTAGTTGCCATACTTTTAACTGCCCCAGAACTCCCCCTTTTACTCCCGCAGACCTGTGGTTACAGCCGTTCAAAATAACGAAATTCCTTATACTGGAGACGGATGAGCAGAACCAGCTCAACATGGGCTAAATAAAGAACGAAAGGGATAGCTATGGCTGCAAGACTTTCTGTCGCACTTCAAAATAGAGATTTTGCATTGCATTAGAATCTTTTGAGCTGCGTAAACGGTTCTTTTGCTTGTCCCATACCTATTTTTAACTCTTTTTGTCTTTCATGTCCGAAATCACAGTAGTTCTAAGATGTTTTAATTGCTCCACTTGTTTTAAGCAATTGCCATTGAACTTGATTTTTGCGTTGTTTGGAGTCATCTTGCTAATTTTCATAATTTCCGTTTTGTTATATCTTTAGTTAGCATGCTCTTATTCTTGCTATTTTGGTCTATCTCGTCAGCAATAAGCACCGTACCGTCTATTTATCGATCATTCTTGATGTTTTTCTAGTCAATTGTAACACCAGGGAGGGACGTTATTAATTTGAAGAAAGAGCAACTAAATTCTTTACTGAACTTAGACAAAATTCCTTAATTCCAAAAATTATCAATCAAAATTCTAATTCAGATAAACAACGCCTCGTGATTTGTTTGTTAACAGCTGATCAAACTTGTTTTGTTGTTGATGCAAGGATAGTCAATGCAAGGAACGTAACGGAAAATGACGGATCTTCAATCCCTGCATGTTTTTAATTGTTTGGTTTTCAAAACGCCGAAGACGCTTTGAACACCATATACAATCAACTTAACAATTTAAAACATGCAGGGACTGAACATCTGTGATTTTCCGTCACGTTCCTTGCATTAACTATCCTTACATCAGCAAAAACTAAATTTGATCAACTCCTCAAACAACTCACGAGGCCTTGATTATCTGAATTAAAATTTGGATCGATAAATTTTGGAATTAAGCTATTGGAGTTTTGAAAACACACTTGGGCTTGATCGCTGGTTACTGCCGCATGGGATCAGTTAGGTGTCTACTGACTGTTTAGCCTCAAATCAGTTCTTCTGATGTTAGAGGCTTCAAGGGATGTGACGCTGTTAATAGAAGCAGTAACCTTAAAGTGAACAGGTACAGGTTCAAAATTTTTCATGCTGTTATTCGTAATTCGATCCATTTCTAGCCATCAAGTGGACCCCAGTTGGGTCCAGTTCCGACCTGGGAGGGTACCTGAGCAGCTGGGGCAGATACGAGGAGGGACTGTATGGCATGTGGATGTACCAACTCAACCCAAGGTACACAACTACAATTGAGTAACTGTGTCACAAGAATGGCAAAAGTGAGCTTTAGAAATAGAGCTCGCCACTCGCCAGGAGAGAAACAGATATCGCCTTAGAAATTTAGTCAGGAGAGAAGATAAGATTTGAAAATAAAATCTCGCCGAAAACGGGTTCGATCCACGGATCTCCAAATCATGAGTGCTTCTACTCCGCCACTGCATCATCTGGTAGCTAACGCGTCCAATAGCAAGTTCCAGGCAACAATGACAACAATTTAAACTAAGAGGATGAAGCACAAGCAATTAAAGACAGATATTCGGAAAATGAACACAAAAAGTAGTCACAAATTTGTGCGACTTCGTTTTGAAATGTGATTTCATATTATAACACCAGCGTTTGCTGGTGTAAAAAAATGTCAATACTTAAATCATCTAGCCAGTATAATTGAAGTGAATTATATTCTATGTGTAGAGTGTATGGGCCAGTGCTTGAGGGTTACTTCGAGTCAGATTGCAACAAAAGGAACTGCACTTTGACTGCAGAGCAGAAACAGTGGATCAAGTATAACAAGAGAAAGTATCCCAATCTGGGTGAGTGATTGCAGTCGATTGATTGATTAAACAAGTAACAATCACCAGAACTGGTTAATGAGAACTGTTGAACCAACTTTGGTCGAGGCAGAGTTAACCTTAACACACTGAATCCAAAAGAGCTCTTTCTAGCACGAAGTTTAACTAATTTGGTCACCAACCTGAACAATTCGGTTGGTTTGTTTCAATTATTGATTCATTAATTTGTCATTTTTCGGGAAAAGAGCCCATAAATAAGTTCAGCATTCGAGGGAAATTCTGAATGTTTGTCCAAATACCTAATTCAATTTCTTAAAAACGATTTATTCTGTTTCAGAAACAGTCGACTTCGGGTTTAACAATGGAAACTTGACATACACCAATGCTAAAATATCCCAAGAGATATATCTGCACCAGCTCAGATGTTGTGACCTCAAAGAAACCGAAATGCAGTACTACTAACTAGGAAAGATCTTCGTTGATACACTATAAAGACTATCTAAAACTGTTTCCAAACTATTTTCGGCTCTTTTCTACTACCCACCCCCACATTTGAGTTTCACTTTTGAAACACTAAATAAGCGTTGAAATAACCATCGCGAACACATTTGATCTTCTTACATTGCATTGTAACATCACGCTTTCAGCCATTATAACACGAACTATAAAATCTGAATACTTGAAATGTGGGGAAAGTGGAAAGTAGCCCTCTTTTTGATACTCATAAGATCCTTTTGCATACTTTGCAGATGATACTCATTTTGAACACCTGGTTACTAACACGATAACCCAATATAACCCGATTACAGACCTTTAGAATTTGCAAAATCTTAAATTTTTCATTAAATTCTTGTGAGTTGTGAGAAAGATTGTTCTCAAGATATTTTTTGACTTCTTCGCAAAAGTCAGCGACATCCTGCATTTCTATTAAAAATCCCAAAGTTAACATATTCCAAGTCGAATATTTTACTTTCGGCACTTTTACAATAGAGCTGCTATGAGCCAATTTTAAAATTACTACCCAATCTGCAAAGTAGCAGACAATCACATCAATATGGATAAACAATCCACGAGATCAACCACAAATCAGATCAAACTGAAATCAATGCGAGAAATAAACCCGAGAAAAAAAGTAACCACAAAAAATAAACGGTAAATAAGAACCAGGAAAACTTAATCTAAAGAAGCTCACATTTGTTGCTGTAATAACCTTAACCCACTCTTTCTTTTCATCGATACAATCTGTTCCGGTCAGTGGTTTAAGCGACTCTTTCTTTTAAATGTTCGAGTGTTACTAAAGACTAGAGTAGTGAGTCACCTCTGATCTCCTTCCTGCAACTCTCCCACAGTCCCTGAGAGTAGACGTCATTCTCACTGTGGGCCCACATGTCTGACATGAGGGACACGATGAGGAGGGCCACTGCCACACAGAGACAGATGAAGCCAATGAGTCTGAAGGGTCTGCAGATCCACGCATTCTGCAGCACAACAGGTACAAATGTGGGTCTTCCCATTATAGCTCCGCCCCCAGCAAACATTAGTCTCCCCGAAATAGTAAAATCACAGAGTGCACGAATTTTCATTCATTGTTACTAGGCGTGGGGCATAATGGGAAAACCACCACTTATGTTTATGATAGACAGGTCGTGCATTTGAAAGTAAATCAACCAATTCAAACACCCTTATGCATCCGATCAAATACAGGAAAAAAACTCGGCTTTTTCTTCAAACCACCCCATCCCTCCTGCGAATTGGCCGATTGCTATGAAATAGGCCTGTTAAATAATTCGGCTACCCAACTATAAAACCTATGAAACCTGTACCCAACTCTTTTACTCGTACCTTTGTCACCACTTCATCATCTTCGTCATAGTGTTCTGAGTAATCATCTGCAGGGTACGGCCGTGACATTTTTGGCAGCTGAAATTGACCTTAGTCTTCTTGAGTCGTTGTAATTTGAACAAAAGGTGATTGAAATATTAAAATGTTCTCGATATTCTGGACGCTCGGTTTGTGATTAGACAGTCTGTTTATACATGTGACCTGAAATGACTGCTATGAAAATAGTAATTTCTGGGAAAAAGTAGAAATTCAGGCCAGCGACGCCTCGAAACTTCTATTACGCCATTTAAATTAAAATCTGCATTTTTCACTCGTCGAGAAAAGAAAAAATAACATAATTTTAGCTTTATCTGAGATCTAAATTTGTGAAATTTGATTCAGATTTGCATGCGATTGCTTTTTGAGGAAAGTGGCATCCGCTTCCAAGAACAATCACCGATCTTTCGAACTCTCAAGCCATCAAAGTTTTGTATCACTTCGTAACAGCTTAAATTCTATAACACACTTTTTTGTTGCTATTTGTTTATTAGGTAACGGTGTTATCTGACGCTGAGAAAAATTTCAGATCGATTTTTCTCGAAATTGGGAGAATTTTGTTAAGCCAATATAGGTTAGAGAAAAAGTCTTTGCAAACAAACAGTATTACTTAGCCCATTTGACTATTATGAAGCTTTGACTACTTTTCCTTGCGACTACGATAGCGCGGATCTAATTAACGATCCCCCTCTATGGTATCTGCTAAAGAATCTCAACCCCTCTACAAACAGAAAACTAACACTTTCTTTTGAGAATTCTAATTTGGATGCACTGCGATAGGTCGAAAATTGAATAAGTTATTTACTCAAGTTCTCCTTTTTCTTGAAAAGGGTAGATAGTTAAAAAGCTCCGAAAGCGCTTCAGTTTCATATATCACACAATTTGGTTTGAGTCTTTTTGGTAACAACAGATTTAGCATGAGAAAATCACCCGCATAAAATTTCCTTTCCTATGTTTGGTTGACGAAGAATTGCTTTTTAATCGAAGGTAACGCGGTGCTGATCTTTTAATCGAAACAACCCAGGGCAAATAACTAGCAATTTAGTAATAAATCACATTTCCATCCTTTTTCATCAGGGGGGTAGTGTTCTCGAGGCTCCCAGATTTCGTTTAAACTAGTTTTATCATAAGGCTATTGATACGAAACCATTTTGAATCCTAACCCACGTTTTGTACACTAAAATCTGTCACAAGCAGTTATCAGTCAAACGGAGTTATTGTAATGGTGACTATGATTCAATATAGTACCATGAATGGGCTTATTCAACATCCGAATAACGATCGCCTCGTAAATTCGACAGAAACACAGTAAAAACATAAGCCAACGCTCTGACGACTAAAAACGAAACAAGATTACGTAATATCCGGAAAAAAAGCTATGTAAAATTTACTATGGCCATTCGCAAGACTTGCAAAAAACACCAAAAAAGTAACTTTTCATCAACAGACTAAAGCAAAAATGACTATTTCTACTAACGACATAATAGTCCCAGCTGAAAAGTGATATTCGAAAAAGAGTTCTAAAAATAAACAATGACTTGTATAATATCGTCAAACTATTAATCGCAAAGGGGCTATAACTTAATACAAATGGCTTAATGGCACAAGATGATCTGATTACAAAATTTGGCGACAAATATCACACTTCAGGTGTTGCTGTTTAACCGAGTATGAACAGAAAATTATAACTCGAACCATTTTTTATTGATCTTTCCAAAACTAAGACGCAAATTGAAAACTTCAATTTGATCGGCCTATTTCTCTAGAATCCACAAACTTGAAAAAAAAAAACAAATAACAAATCAACCTTATTGTTAACTATTGAATTGACAACTTAATATGAAATCGGAAATGTCTAGTCAAAAAAACATGATCTTCTTTCAGTTTTTTGGTCTAATAACATTTGCAGTCAAGTTGTCTTATTCGAGCGTTCATTCTAGACAGCTTTACTGTTCCGAAACTAGAAAATTCATTAAAGAACTAAACAATTATTACACACTAGGAGATTTCGAAGATGGTGAAAACTTGCTTCTCAAAAAGAGTGGCGTTTTTCTACATACAGAAATTGAATCAAGACTTAGTCATGGTGAATGTTACACTGGACTTTCAGAACCCAAATGTTCGGGCTTTTACTGTATCCAAGCCGATCACATAGGAGATCACGTGCTCATTGAAAGTCTGGAACCTCATTTGCTGATTCGGATTCCAAAAAACCGAACCGAATGTCGCAGTATTTGGCGGGAAGTTGAAATAGAAATTTGCGGAACTCACACCGAGAAACTGTATCTGCCTATAAGCGTGCAAAAAACTGACGGACAAGTAAACTCAAATTTGAGCGCAACTAGTATTATAACCTCAACAAAACAAAGCTGAATTGTTAAATTAGTTCTAGTTATTTAACCATTTGCAATATGAGTTAATGGCTATTTTGTAAATATAGTAAATGCCACTTTATTCAATATTTAATGCTTTAAATTTTGTACCATAAAAAACTGATTTTGTACAATGATTGCAGTTTTACCAAAAAGGAAACTGAGTTACCCAGATTAAAGCTATTTGAAAACACAAACGAAAAAAAAAACAGACTAGTCACTTTTACAATGGGTCCAAAATGTACTATCACAATGAGTTCACATTTTTTTTAGTATAGCCACTTTTTGGTTGAAGTAACCCAATAAAATCAAACCGGATCAAAATTTAATCTTTTATTCCATTGGAAATAGTTCGAATCACTTTTTGAAGTACACGTCGTGCGCCATTTCCAATTTTGTGTTGGGCTTCTTTTGGGCTGCTCTAAATACTGATTTTTGCACAGCGAGCTTGAAGAGATACTAGGCTATGACTCGCACCTAAGGTGATTCAAATAGAGAAAATCAATTAGAAACCAAACTAGCAGTCTCTAGGATTTCACTGACAGCACCATAATACATGGTTGGGTTGAAAATTTCAGCTTTTAAATCTGTAGGTTTTGAAAAAAAATAAAAATTTAAAAGCTGAAATACGCCACATCTAGGCCATAGGGTTTGATCAGTCATATTTGGAGAAGGTCAAAGTTGCAATCCCTGAGTGTACCCTGAAAGCACCCTTACCATAAGATTTTCGAGTTTTTCAGTGTTTTTTCTATAGTGTTTTTTCTAAAGTTTTTTTTAACTTTTAAACATTTTTTAAATTCTAAGTGAGGTGCTATTAGGGTACACTCAGAATAAGCAACTCTACTCTCCAAATATGACTGTTCAAATGCTTTTGGTTTCCGAGATGTCATTTGTTTTGTTTTAGTTTTTCAGTTTTATTTTTCAAAAACTTAGATTTGAAAAAAAAACAAAGAACTAAAAAAATTCTCAAATCTAAGGTTTAGAAAAAAACTTAAAAAAATGACATGCCGCAAAAACCAAATGCAATTGAACAGTCATATTTGAGGGGCAGAATTGCATCTACTGAGTTTACCCTGAGAGCACCCCATCACAGAGTCGGGAATTTCGAAATGTTTAGTGTTTTGTAAACCTACGTTTTTTGAAAAAAAAAAAGCATAAAAAACCAGATCTCGAAACCAAAGAGAGGGATGCAGTTATATTAAGACGGCAGAATTGCAAACCCATAGTGTACCATGCGAACATCCCAAAATAGGATTGAGATTTGATTGTTTCAAGTTCTTAGTTTTTTCAAATCGAAAAATTTTGAAAAAAAAACTATAAAAACACGACGTATCTTGGAAACCAAAAGGATTTGAACAGTAAAATTTGAGGCCAGATTTGCAATTTCTGAATATATTCTGAGAGCATTCACCATAAAATTGAGAACTTCAAGGTCTCTTAATATTGTTTTAATCTAAGTTCTTGGAAAAAAATCATAAAAACGCAATATCTCGAAAACCAACAGGCCAGACTTTAGAGGCCAGAGTTGCAACTCAGAGTATAACCTAACATTACCCCAACATAAGTTTGAGATTTTGAGTGTATTTTACATCTTAGTTTTTCCGGGGAAAAATAAAAAATCATAAGAACGTTGCAAAATATTGGTTTATTATACAAATCAACATTGGGATTTCTTAAATATGTGTTAAGTGAAATGCCAATTAAATAATGTAATGATTGATGATATTGATAGATCCATAGATAGGTAGATAGATAGATAGATAGATAGATAGATAGATAGAAAGCTAGATAGAAAGATAGATAGATAGATAGATAGATAGATAGATAGATAGATAGATAGATAGATAGATAGATAGATAGATAGATAGATAGATAGATAGATAGATAGATGGGTAGATAGATATATCGATAGATAGATAGATAGAAAGATAGAAAGATAGATAGATAGAAAGATAGATAGATAAATAGATACATAGATAGAAACAGATAGACAGATAGATAGATAGATATAGATAGACGGATGTATAAATAGATAGATATATAGATTAGATATCAGAAAAAAAAAGAAAATGAAGAGCTTAATCATGGAAGATGAAGGGTGTGGGTTCTGCTTGTCGTCCAATTTCCTTACCCACACTCAAAAACTTTCGTGACTCGTGGATTATGAATGACCAGTTTAATTTGTTTTCTTTCGTTTGGTTGAAAAGACAGCCAAATTATGACTAAAACAAAAAAATCAAAATACATGCTTTTAACTGCTTTTGTTAAATTTAAAAAAGGAAACATATTACAATTTGAAAGCTCCCCAGACATCAGTTGCAATGTTATTTTGTTCAGAAAAAAGTCGCCAGCGGAACAGAAAAAATATCTATAAAGATTAACATCAATATTGAACAATGCTAAGTCAAACTTATGATTAACAGAACTTTTTACAAACCTGAGCGTATTAACGCAAAAAACCTATAACTTTCCTTAAGCAGTACTTTTTAATAGATTTTATTCCATTGGGTGACGCAAAATATGAGAGAGAAACAAACATGAACAAGATTTCACGTTTCAGGTCGAAGCCCTGAATTTTCCGACTGCCTTTTAAGCTTTTATGGAGCAGTAATAACATCAAAAAATTAAAAGTAATTAAATAAAATTTTTAAAAAATTTTTCTAAGATTTGAATTTTTTTACGAAAAAAATCATCTCCCCGCACGCCATATAAAGAACAAAAGAATAGATTTCGCTCCTTGTAACAAATCAATTATGGCAAATAAGCTTCTTTCAACCAATTTGGAACAATTTTAA